AACACTTCTAACTTTAAATGAGTCTGAGGTTGTGAAAGATTTTATTAATCCCAAAAGTTTTATCCAAAGCTTAACTTTGTTTAGTGTAACAAAAACATTTTCAAATCTAAAGGTGAGTTCCACTAATTTTACACATTGATATCAGTTTACTCATCATGGGAAACACTGCTCAGCCTGTGAAAACAGTTGCGTACAAAATCACTTCATCTTTCATTAATTCATAGACACTCAGCAGTTTACTGTATAGTGAGCAGTAAAGTTAGAGTTGAGGCACTCATGAATCATCCTCATTTTGTGTTTTAAAAGCAACTTGTGAATCCCCATGCTTTCTGAAAGGCCAATACTTAATTGCTGGAGTACAACTTTATCTACACTAGATGTTCTAAATGTATGTAAAACATTTAACAGCAAGACATTTGTAAACACAGATAAGCCACTACAACCACAGCCAGCATAGGGTTTTTTTTTAGGGAGAGATTGCAAAGGAAAAACTTTAAAATGAGTTCTTGTTTTTTCAATAAAAGCACATATGGCACCCAGAATATACAATATAAATGTAGTTTTAAATCACATTTGTCTATGGAAATTTGCTCAGTTTTGCAACCAGCCCCAAGTGGCCAGTCGATGAATTGCAGTTTTTGGCACTTCCGCATTGGCTTCACTTGTCAGCCCTGGAGGTTGCCATTTGGGCCTAACAAGTGCAAGCACACACACCAGACAGCCCCCAGGTGCCCCACCCCCCCCCACACACACACACACAGTATGAGCCATCAGCCAGGGATTGCATTGGGAACAGAATGGCTGGGTATTGACAGTGTTGGACAAAAAGAGATCTTGTACTTAAGAAAAAGTAGTAATACAGCATAAAAATATTATTTTACAAGTAAAAGTTTTGCACTGACAAGGCACAAGTGTACATAAAGTACAAAATGTAAAAGTAGCTACTGACTATGCAGAATGGCCCATTTCATGTATATTAAAATTTTGGATGATAATTATTGATACATTAATATCTCGATCACTAAAATGTTGCAGCTGGTAAAGGTGGAGCTCATTTTATTTACTCAATATGGTACTGCTTGGCAGTTTGTAAATTTCCACCCTGAGGATCAATGAGGTTTTATCATAATTACATCATAGTTGGTTTATTTGTTGATTGTATATTGGATTATTAATCTCAATCTGAAAAGCTGCTAAAGCTGTAGTGGAGTAAAAAGTACAATATTGCCCTCTGAGATGTAGTGGAGTAGAAGCATAAAGTAGCAGAAAATAAAAATTAATAAATAAGTAAAGTACAAGTACCTCAAATTTGTCATACTTAGGTTAATGTACTTAATCACTGTACACCACTGGTTATTGACCTTCACATATTTTTTATGTGAAAATAAGACTACATAAGAATGCTAAAATATGTGATAAGGCTTATCTGAGGCTAAGCAGTGAAGTGGCTGCAGCACTCAGTAGGCTCGGTGTAACGCTGCCTGATTGCACCAAAGCAGCAGGTCTAACAAATACATTTGCCTGAAAAATATTCTTGCACCAAGTTGCAAAGCATTAATTCGCCTGGAATAATTTATAATATCTAATTACCATGTTACACACCCCTGTTTCCTCATGGTGTAGACTGTTAACTACAATGTAATGTAACCGCAGGTTCATGAAATCTCTATTTAAACACCCCTTTAATGTGATGGAATATTATGTGCAGCGTCTTGAAGGGTATTGCAATGTTAAGTGATATTAGATGCCAGCTGACTGTTGATGCATTAGATCCAGGTTGATTTGACTGCCATAATGGCACTGCTCATCCAGAGGCGAGGAGCTGCCCTTGACAGGAAAACAATATGGATGTTTTGAGGGATGACACACTTGCCTTTCATTGAGCACTCTAATCACTCAAATACAGAAAGGAAACCATCTCCTCTGTTTCCAAGGCAAACAAATGTGTAACTGACAGGCCCTTTTCTGCAATACTGAACAAGCAGTGTATTTTGTGCATAATTTACCTTAGCAGAGCACATAATCTCACAAGACGTGGGTTCTTGTAAGGTTTCAGTGTGAGGAGCAACAATGGTCTGTCTGTAATTGCTGCTATGTGGGTGTTTTAGTGTTTTGTGAGCGCTCAATGTGCCTTGAAACTACAATATCTGTAATACCCAACAGGGGCCCAGACTCTCAGGAAATGTTATGCCATTTTAACGATTCAATGTCAACTCCAAATAAAGTAAAAGTGATATTTGCCAGGTGTAGAAAGACTCTGGTACAATTGTTTGGAAACACAGACTAAACTGAAAGACATTAGGTCTTCAAACCATCAACATGAGAACCCTGTCTTATAAACTATGTCACCAAATGGATATTTGGAGCCATTTAGTTTTAAGTGTGAGCTGAAACAAGGATATTTCAGGTTCTACAAGGCTCTCCCAGCAAAGCAACTTTCTCCACTTGCTCCAGAGGTGGCTGCTGGTCTGATTGAAACACACATCACACAGTTTTCTATCAGCCGAAGAGGGCAGGTGTCTCAGAGTACCAACCCTATTGATCGGTGGTGCCTTTGTCTAGTTATTTAGCAGGAATCATTTTCATCAGTAACAAGGCCATGAGGTTAAAAGCCTGCATGAAAACATTCAGGGATTCAATTTTCAGCCCTTCAAAATAACTGAATTACTGAACTTATTTCAAATTACCAAGACTAAGAGTCGACAGCCATGCTGATGGCGCTGTGGTGATGCAGCTACTTAGGCATGGCTGTGCCTCAAGATAAATGCTAACGTCAGCATGCCAACATGCTCACAATGACATTACCAAGTTGCTGATGTTTAGCAGTTATGATATTAACCATGTTCATTCTTAGTTTTCTTTTAGCATGCTATAATTTGCTAATTCACACACAACACAAAGTATAGTAGAGATTGATGGTTATTATGGAAGTGTAATGTATTCACTTGGGGAAAAGATTCTGCTTGTTTTACTGAATTTATTAGATTATCATGTCAATTCAGAAAAAAAGAGCATTTCTATTTATAAAAGCTTTTCTCAGAATCCTGATATAATAATCTCATTAATGATATACTATGCAGGATTTTCCTAAAAAGCAATAGACTCATACAAAGGTAATCTCTTTCAATCATTACTTATGATCCACTAGAAGTGTGTGGTGGTGCATTTTCTTCCAGATACTCTGCCCTCTGCCTTTATTGTTGTTATTTTCTTCTTATTTTGTGTTTTCGGAATGTTTATGGTGCTATGCTTTATGAAATGGTAGTGACCAAGTGCCAGACCCTAAGCAGCAGGCATCCACAAAGCACAGCGCAGAAAAAATTGCTATTATAACAAGGTGAAACCAAGCCGCAACCACTGGAGCTGAAAAATGAAGCCAATGCAGAGGTGCCAAAAACTACAGTTCAGTCAGGACCACTTTAGTCAAAGAAAACAATTTCGATTTGCAGTATTATATTTGGCAATATGGCTGTGCTCTGGGGCCTCTCTGGTTTTCCTAGGCCTATGCAGAAAGCCTGAGGTGGAGAGAGTACACCTTAGGCGGAGAGAACAAACCTCCCTGCCCTTCCATGCGCCTACACGAAAAGCCTAAGGCAGGGAAAGCAGCAGCAAAAACCCCAGAACAGAACAGAGCAGTATCAATGACAAACAGAAATGACATTGATAAGTCAGACACAGCATGAAAAGAAGGAGCTGGGGTGGAGGCGGGTTGCAAAGCAGCTTGCAAAGGAAGCAGCAACAGTAGGCAGGCCAAAGCAGTGTAAATAGGGCACCCTGAATGAGATTCCCCAGTTGGTTGCATAGAAAGGGATCATGTGATCTATCAGCTGACTCACTTCAATCAATCAGCTGCTCAATCAGTTGATTGGGCTGCTTGAGATCAGTCAATGTAGCAGGGATGTGAGCTGAGGTTGACATAGTGTCTTGCCTGAGCTAATACTACGCTCAGTTCCTTTGAACAGCCACTTGAGGCTGGCTCCAGAAGCAAGTCAATCCCCACAGAAAATGCCCAACTTAACAGCAGAAATAAACATGTTTACAGCCTGCTACAAAAAAACAGTCTCTATAGCAAATTTCCTCCTTCATGAAAACTGTTTGGGGGGATTAGCTTTTATGTAACTCATCTTCAACACATACATTTACGCATTTTTAAGGGTGGCCACCCTCTTGTCCGAATATGGTAAATGGGTGATGTCACAGTGGCTACATCAGTTATTTTATAGTCTATAGGCGAAACACCAAACAAGAGTGAATCTGGGCCTGCTTTCACTTTCACTTTCACTTTCATTGGGGAGCTTGTTTGCATACATTAACCAGCTATCCTGCATATACACGTTTAATTCGGAAAAACAAAGCAAAGGCATAATGCTTCTGTAGATTATAGGCTTAAACCAAAATATTGGAAGAGTTTTAACTTTGACATCAACATGCTTACATGCTTACAGTTACAGCTGATATTCACCAGGTACACCACCCTGGTTCTTTTAATGCTAACATTTGCCAATTAACAGTAAATACTGAAAACATTAGCAAGCTAAAAATCTGACATGAAGATGGCGCTGGATAAAAAGCCATGGGATCATGAATGTCAGTGGAATTTATTCTCTATGTACAGTGAATATCTCTATTTATTTTCAAGGCTGTCCATACAATACAGTTATTTCCATATTTCAGTCTGCACCATAGTGAACTGACTGACCAAGACACTAACATTGCCATCTCTAATAGGTATAAAAAACACTACTCTAAAAAGTTAACTTTCTCAAGTACATAATAGATAACATTCTAACTTCAAAGTAGTGGTGTTATCAGGAACAAATGTCTTTAAACAGAAACTTTCCTCAGCTCAGGAGATGTCCTTGCCAACGGCCTGATGAAATACTGATATGAAAAGCAACAGGCAGTCTTAAGCATACACACGTTTATTGGAAACTCTCTGAACAAATGCAACACAACTGATGCAGAAAAGCACAACACACACTTAGCACAGAGTTACACACACACACACACACACACACACACACACACACGCTCAGCTGCCGCAGTAGCACTGTGCAGTCTGACAGCAGGTTTGTTGAAGCATAAATTCATTGAACTAAACTTGGGATATAGCTCTTTCAAACAGTCATGTCAGGTTGTTCATTTGCATATAATAAGGACTAATGTAGTAATACCTATGCTCTGATTACAGGGCGGACATTTTTCATATTAACATCCTCAAACCTTAATGTGTTTCCAGTGATGTGTTGACTCCAAGTGAAGCGGCTCAGAATTCCCGTCATAGCAACAAACGTAGGCTCCAACGATCACACTTTGACAAGATACATTAGGCTCCTTTGTTTTCTTCATGGACAAATTTCACACAGCTGCAGTCCTTTATTGTACATAAAGTATATAAACAGCAAAACACAGCTCAAAGAGTTCTCAAGGCCAGACATGCTTATTCATAGAAAACAAGTCTTTTCTCACAAATGGAACTGGCATGCCATGAACAAAGATTCTTAAGTCGACTCTTTTTTTTTTCTTCAGACATCTATTCATTATAATTGATAATTATTTAATTATTCTTATTTTTTAGTTACTTTTATCCCTTCAGTCCTTGGGAAGGTGAAATGACATGAAAAGAAAAATACACAGAATAACAAGCACTGGTTGCCTTTGAGCATCCGATTTGAAAAAATGAAAAGAAATATGTACCTTATAATATTTTTTTCTGTAGAAAATTATTGAGCTTTCCTTTCAAAATGACACATTCACCATTTGAAAAAAAAACACCTACTGCTACAAAAGTGTCTATAGCACCAAATTAAAACAAATCATGGAATGATTTGACAGAAAAATAAAGTGAAAATACTGATACGGATATAACGTCTGAACAACATTTTTTCCCCATTATACACTGCACCATCTAATAGGATAATACTAAATGACAAAGTACAAACATCAGGCTGCCATGTCACACCAATGCAGGTCTACAGAACATAATGCATCTGTGTCACAATCATCTCCAAATCTTCCTCAAAGATGTCAAAAATCTCACAGTCACAGATCTCCAGGTGCTGAAAGACTTGTTGAACCAGCGAGGAGGTTACAAGTTTCTCTCCAGTCAACTCTCAGAGTCTCATTAAGTCCCGTCACAGAGTCTGATGTGCAGAGTCGAGCACCTTTTTCCTCTCTGCTGAAAGGCTCATTCTTTGTAAAGTTTCATTTTGTATTGCATCCGTGCTGGATAAGTCTTGTCGAAACCTTCACGCACACACACACACACACACACACACACACACACACACAGTTGTAAGAAGCTGCCAATGGGTTGCAATAGTGACAGAGGCTTGATTGTGGCTAATTTGAGTAAATGATGTTTAAAGAGTTTTGAAAAGAAAGAAGCTTTACTATGTCTATTTAAGCAAACAGCAGCTGAAGATGCGGCTGTTTCAACTGTTGCCTTTTACAAAAACGTGTGATCTTTTGACAGTGATGACAAATATACAAATAGGCTTGACTAACATTCTGACAAGATAATAAAATAACAAAATGATCTTCTACATTTGGCTTGCTGCTCGTTTCATATCATGCTGTTTTGATGTGCTATTTCCTGTTTTTCACCCTTCACTTTTCAGTGCAAATATATAATCATTGCCTTCCTATGAAGCTTGGTTGGGTTAAAGGTAAGATAAGACTGCACCTTCCCATTCATGTCACAGCAATGGCAAAAAAGACACAGTAACCAAGGCAACAAAATGATCCATCCTTTTTAACAATACTTTGTAAGAGGCTACAAATTGCTTTGTTGATGATAGGGAACCAGTTATCTTGCTATGTGTCATCTCGTTCAATAAAGCATAACAGGGCATAACGAACAACCTAAGCAGGAAGAAAGCTACAAATCTTTGGTGTTTGTCTCGTCGTGCTTACCCTAAATTAAGACTGGAAATATTAATAAATAATGGAACATTAATGGATGAATAATACATCACAATCGCTGCCCCGGGTTCAGGCCTGTCGTCTCCTGAATGCGAGATTGTCTATTTGTGGGGCTTCAGTGGGCTGAAAGCCATCTGCAATGCTCGGGCAGTCCGTGGGGCACCTCATATAGTCCTAATGCGCTCATAAGCAGGAGCCGCTGACCTCCCTTAATGAGGATTAATGCTGGATCAGATTGGAGTTTGTACCTGTCCAGACACACTTCCACCACGTCATTCCCACCTGCCTGTTATAGATTGCACTCATTGAGCTACAATTTGGGTTCATGTCCCCGCGTAACCTTTGGGAGCATGTGTTAAATGCAGGGCTTGTGAGAAAATAAAGTTGAATGGTGACGAGGAGAGGAAGAGGAATGGGGAAGAGGTGATATGCAGGATTGCACTGGAAAGCTATACAAGCCCTGAGAGAATGGGAGGAAATGGAATATAAAAAAATGGGTGGATGTAGAAGAGTAAAGGTGGGGAACAATGAATACTGTCCTCAACATGGACCAATGCTTTTCGCTAATGTATTGGTTATACATCTGGAATTTTGTTGCACTGGAAGACCAAGAGTGACCAAGAGCAGAGGAGGTATGAATAGAGCAGTGCCTCAAGTTCTTGGGTTTAAAAGGGGACCTATTATGCTCATTTTTAGGCTCATGCTTGTATGTTGAGTTTCCACTAGAACGGTTTTGCATGCTTTTAAAAAACATTTTATTTTCCTCATACTGTCTGTGCTCTAACACCTGTATTCGCCCTCTGTCTGAAATGCTCGGTTTTAGTGCCTGCCCCTTTAAGCCCCCCTCCAGAAAAAGCCCAGTCTGCTCTGACTGGTTAGTGGGTCCTGGTCTTCAGCATCTCTGCATCTCTTCACCATCATTGCAGCCTGGGAGTGATTGAATGGAGTATAGCAGCACTTTCTACTGTGAAAGAAATCACCAATAATAGCTTCTATACACAACAGGACATGCTCCAAAAGGGATGTGATCCAAAATCAGGGAGAAATTAACAACATTGGCAACTAAGATTACACGTTTCTTTGACGTTAGTATGAAGTTACAGGTTTGTACATATACGTACAAAACCAGCTGGTAATTTGTGTATATCCCATGTTATCAGGAAGCCTGTGATCACGTGAGCATGAACTGACAGGAGTAAATATAGACTAAATACAAAGACTAAAAGCCTGTGTAAGGAGCCAGGTTAGGGTGGTGGAAGGGTCAAACTACAAAGGACTTTCCCCCAGGGGACCAGTGTTTGGGACTGTGATAAAACATAGTGAGCTTTGACTTATTTTTAGGTACACTGTAGCTTTGTTTCTCTTCCTAAACCTAACCAGTGTAATTTTATGTTAAGTACATAACGTCATTTGTGACGCCAAAATTTGTTAGATATCATGTGAATCGTTGTATGTGCATTTTCGTAAGATATCATACCAACCGTTGTATGAGGGTAAAATAACCCGTATCGCGTAAAATAACGGGCCTGAAGCAGATGACCACATAAAGAAATCTGTCACAAGCTGACATCAACTTGTCTTCTCTTCAAAGAAAGAAAAACAAACATTGGAAGCAGAATATTCCAAACGGTCTGAAGGCTGAGGTTTTTGCTCTCAGGAATTACTTTTACATAGGTTAACCTAGTTATTTTAAACTTTTGCCCCATTTAATATGAACATCCAAATTTGTAACATCATATATGTGAGGGAAATGAGGAATACGATAATAGGTCCCCTTTAAACCATCACATTGGTGTCCTCTGAAGATGCAGTGGGCATCTAAATGTCTAAATGAAACAGAGAAAGTCACTAGATTTCTGACATGACTAGCTGCTATCAAATCCCATAATTTGTTTCAAAGTGTGACATATAACATACTATATTCTAATAGTTTATCTGGTTTGATTTCATGGTTTGATTGCTGTGACATTTCATGGGATTTATCAGGGTCTCCCTAATTTACTGTCCCAATCCTTTAACAGCCAAACATTAAATATACTCCAACAACTGGCAAACCACAATTCTCATTAAGCAAAAAGAAAAAAAGAACTCCAGTAAAAACTGGCAATATTTTCATCTTCGTTCACAACCATTAGTAAGACGTGTTTCCTTAGGTTTTCAACATGTTTTTCTCTCTTCCCTCTCAGAGGCAATGTCCCATATTCGTGGGTTCCTCTCATACATCACATCTAAATATAGACTTTCACGCCTGCTGAGCAAGAACCAGATATAAAAAAAATAATAAAAAAAAGAATGCAGGTGTCACCGAGACAGGGTGCAACAGGAGATGGGCTGAGGTGTATAATTGTCCACTGGAATGTATACAAGAGCCAGTCAGTCACTGGGGATGGGGAGGTGGGCTCGGTGGCTTGGTGAGGGTGTTGGGGGGAGTCTCGGTGGTGGCCACTAGTCATACTGGCCCTTCAGTCAAGCCCTCCAGGGGAAGGGTGGTGGCATTGTCAGTGGGCTGTGGGTCATCCTGGGGATGCAAGGGCGTGTGGGCAGCAGCAGCAGCCAGACTGGCATAAGGCAGGTGGCAGTCCGTGTGCAGAAAGGGTGGGTAGTGCTGGCGATAGCAGATGTACGCGAACAGCAACCCAATCACTCCTCCAACAAAGGCGTCTGCAAAGTTACAAAAACACACACATTTAAAGGTATGCGTCTTTAGTTATTTTAGCCCATGTGGAGGAAGAAAAATAACACCTGCTCTTGGAATGAGAACAATTAGGCATTACTGTACTGTGTGTGCAATAGTGTTCCAGTGAGCATTCATGCTTGGCTCGTTTAGAGTGTGATGAAAGTAAACTGAGAGGCAAAGCGATGAATCTGTTCTACTGAGCACTGGGCTAACTAGCCTCTGGACAGGCTGTCTCTGTCATTTTGTCATCTGCGCTGAATAGTTTCGTATTATACCTGCCCCCTTTAAGCTATAATACATCATATAATATCACACTGCCATGGTGAATATTAAGCCTATATTGCTGGGTATAGATCAAAATGACATGGCCAGCTGGTGGCTGGAACAGCTGAAGTGGAGGATTCCATGATATCAAAATTATGTTTTTCCATAGGGCTCACCATACTCCCTTTATTTTCCTCCTTCTGGGTGAAATGAAATATAGCATAACATCGATTTCCACCATTCATAAACTATACAATGCATGAGCTTGCTCTGTGAATGTTTCATCGACTCCTGTCAACTGAATTTAATAGACTGTGACTTGATGCAATATATTAGTTTGGTGGCCTCATTGAGACAGTGATTGGATGCCCAGCCTTTTCCCCCGGGAGGAGAGACCGCACCTCCAAAGTGCAACGGGATGGTGAGAATATTAGAATCCATCAAGCATGGCTCAGCAGCCAGGCTAATGGGGGCTCCCAGCTTGTGTTTACACTGAGCACAGATTGGGACCCCCTCGAGTTTAATGGGCTGCACCATCGCTGCTTACTTACAGTCTGCCGGGGAGAGGGAGGAGGAAAAAGTATGTGTCTAGCTAAGAAATACTGTGAGGACTGAGAAAGCTGCTGGCTTGCCTTCAATTGCTATGTGTGTTGCACTTTTGATGTAAATAAAATCCCGGCTGCAGAGGCGGATCTTCCTATATGTGGCATCAGGGTGCCAAAATAGTACCCCCACCCCCCCACTACGTAAGGGAAAAATGATTGCTAACTGTTAGTCTGTAGAAGTGTTACCACCTCCAGTCCTGGCAATGCAGTTCATGATAATGTGCTCATTAGTGAGTGATCATAAAAGTCAGTACATGCTAGAAAATTGATGGGTACGGTCGAGTAAGGTGTTTTTTGGGCGAGCATTAGAGTAAAAGAAAATGAAAGGGCAAAAACCATCTGGGTGCAGTACAGAAAAAGTACACAAAAAGACAAAATCTGCCAACCTGCACATCTTTTATTTATTTTAATTTCTCATTAGCTCTGGTTCTTGTTTGTAATAAAATCAATACATTTTAAATATATCATAATAATTTTATTTTTGTGTGGGGTGGGGGTAAGGGGGTGTTGTCAGGGGAGGCTTATCTTGGGCACTGAATGTGCTAGGTTCAGCACTGCCTAGTTGTTAAAAGAGTTGTCTGTTTTGTAGCTGCCCTGCTCTCCAGGAACATATGGCTCACTAAAGCTAATTAACACCATATGACAGAGCTGTCACCATATTACCACATATTCTCTCCCACACCCGCCCACATATGCATTCCTTTCCCTCTGTCCCTCCCAAGTCTCCTTCCAGCTCTTTCGGGCCAGATATGCAAAACTGAAGCTTTTAATTATAATTTTTTTCCCAGGCTGCTGAATTAAATGCCACCTCACTGTCATCTAAGGCACTTGTCAGAGTATCAAAACCTGCCATTATGCTGTGGCAGACAGAAAACAGCCTTATAAGACACAATGTTCGGTCTGTTGGGCAAATAAGCAGGCTGCCCAGCATGATTTACTGCTCAGTTCTTTAGCCTTTGCTTGATTTGTCAGCCATGCTGATTAAGTTAAAAATGTGATTACAGCAGTACAGCTGTTTGAAATGAGCATCACCCTGAGTTTGCCTTATAAATGATCTGTATAATCAATCTAAGAGCGCCTTGAGCCAGGTGTGATTGAAACAGAGTTCTGCACAGCAATCCATCTGTGGCTGAGACAAGCAGATTGTACTCAATGTAAGTTTTTTTTTAAAAAAACCAGCTTTTTTCTTTTTTGGACAGTTATTTTGATTAATGCAGAGAAATCATATGCATGTGTCTGAGCTGTTACATGTAGGCAGACCTTGCCAGTGGTGTTTGTAGTCGCAGGTCCGGGACAATGCAATCATCATGGCGCTGTAGAGAGGCAACACCATAGCACAGAGACGCCAGCTACGCCCTCGACCCTGATCTGTAAAACACTGCAGCTTCCCCGCCAGGTAGAAGGAGGTGAAGCCGAGTCCAGAGAATGCAACTAGCGGGTAGACAAAGAGAAATAAAAGGGATCAAAATCGAATACAGCATTCAGATTATAAACTCTCACCCTCTCTGTGACTGTGGATTCCTCTCGTATCTCAGCAAAGACATAAACTGCGAGTCTCGAGGGACTGTGTTGTAAAAGTCAATTACATTGCATGATGGACACGTTTGCAACAGTCACAGTGCAAAATAATAAAATCAACCATAAAACAGACAGTAGTGTAATGACAAAGTATTTTAGACAGAAAAAAGTCACAAAGAAGGCATATGCAGCTTATCAACTGCCACCCTCTTGCAGGTAAGCCCTGAGGGATGAAACTGCAGCTTGTTAGGAAAATACCGTCATACTAAATCACTGTGTGCTACAGGTGCATGATCAAGGAGATTAATCAGGGATGTGCATGGAGTTTGTATGTAGCCTGAGTGTGCATCTCTGAGCCAATACACAGTACAAAATTAGATTCTTAATGTCTGATTTCTATGCAAACACTGCCAAACTGAGATAAGCGAGGAGACTGTGTCAGTCCCAAACTACACCACATCTCCAGATGAGTGTAGAGCTGATACATTATTACATAGCTGATGCAAAATATTAATTTTGTCCAGCAGCTTTCCTCTGCACAGGCCCGCCAATGGGATGAGAGTCTAAAGTCACAGTGAAAGCTAAAGCCCTACATTAGAAACAAATGTGACCAAGCTGGTGGCCACGCTGTGTAGAAGGAGGTCTTAGTTGATGGCGGTTGGTGTAAGAGAAACAGTGGCGGGCTAATTGTATGAAATTGAGGTTGCGTGACGGAGCTGTGAAAGGTGGTGCTTAGACAGGGACATTTGTTTACTGCTGCGGCAGGCCAAACAGCACCCATCAGCTGCCCATTTGTCATTCAACCGCCAAACTGGCCAAGAATACTGAGGACGCCAGGACACGTGTGTAGCCTGTAGAGAGAGAGAAGGGATGGTGGCAAGAAAGGGCAGAGGCACAGAGTCCAGCTGTCTCAGCGGCTGTCCTGCTGTCAGGGAGCAAGACTTGGCTCCTTTATGAACCCAGCATTTTCCATTTTGCAATTTGGACCAACATATTGGATGGCTGGTATAGCCTGATATTGGGTTTTCATTAAAAATGATTATACAGCGTTGCACACCTCGGAAATGATGGATATAATGTAGTTCACTTGATTGAATTTTTAGTTTAAAATTGACCCCGATACTGAACACAGCACTCAATCTAATGTGGAATTTTGGTTAGGTTCCACAAAGCTATGTATGGAGTACTTTATTTTTTCGTATTGCTACCCAGCCAACATATATATGTAAGCATTTTCAATGAAATCCATCCCCCATTTTCTTATGAAAAGTAATGCCCAAAAATATGTACATATCCTGCATTATCATGAGCCAATAATTCATGTATAACCCACCTATTTTGGAAGGCTGCTATCATGTGACCCATGCACTGACAGGGGTAAAGAAGACACAGGACTTTCTTCCAAGGAGATTGGTGTTCATGAACGTGTGAACTTTGAGGGAACTTTGAGTCATTTTATGGTATGTTGTCACAATGTTTCTTTTCCTAAACCTCACCTTTGGTACTTTACATCAGGGGCGCAGATGGGATTTTTGAACTGGGGGGGACCAAGCTGTCAGCAAATGATTAAATATATACATATATGTATATGTATATATATATATATATATAAACCCAACGTTTATGCTTGTAGATGCTAGATTTCAGTGCTTTTTCGACTTCAAAACTCCAGCTTAGTACAGCTGAACGCACCATTAGTCGTAACACAAACACCGGGCTATCAATGGATCAGCTGTGCAGTATTATTAACCGAGAATTACATGGATAATTGAACACCTTGCTTTCCCAACTCAGCAAGGATCTGCTCCAGCCTTTCCCCTTCTTGAATCGGTGTAATGTGGATTGATCACTGACAAGGCTACTGCCGCTGCCATTTCAACTTTGTGCTGCAATGTAAGTTAGCCTAACTTACGGATAATTGGTCCTCTTTTTTACCTATGTGTGGGGGGGGCAGTGGGGGGGACGGATCGGGGTCACTATAAATCTGAGGGGGACATGTCCCCCCCGTCCCCAGTGCCATCTGCGCGCATGCTTTACATTAAGTACATAACTGTCCCATGAATGTCATTCATGGGGCACTAATACATATAATATCAAACCGTTGTATGTGGATATGTTGAACCATGTAATAGTTTCTTATTAATTACGCTCAAAATCAAAAATGTTTATATGATAGTGGTGGAAGAAAAGTCAAAGGAATGCCAAAATTAGTAGGTGTCAGCCTCTGGTGACCTTGAATGTCTGTATAGAATTTCAGTGCAATCCATCCAATTGTTGTTGAGACATTCTGGATCAAAGTGGTGGACGTCCATAGAGCCATACCGCTGTTGCTGACTATACTGTATGGGCCCCTTGGGTGGCCTATACACTCTCTCTTACTAGAAACCATATGGTGGTTTAGTTGGCAAGATTAAATCTAGCCAATGCATCCCTATTAATTGCTTAAGCTTTAAAGTGGACCAGTAGTTCATAGCTCATTGGAAAGGAAATGCACCCAGGGCTAGATGAAACCAGTTAATATATTCCGCCAGTTAAATCAATCCATATGGAGATCAGGGAAAATATGAAATATGCAAAAAAATTAATTGGCACCCTGCGGTATATAAAATCCTGCACATAGTCATCATCGCTGCCAACGAAGTGTGCCGTATGGGTTCAACAGACAACAACACATTACTTCCATGCTTTCTTGCTCAGCTCATCAGTGCAGTACTTCTGTTCGGAGGTCACCAACAAGCCATCTGAGGTCATCAGCCTCAGCATCCTTCAGTGCACATCCATATAACTTCTGGGTGACCTCACCACATTTCCAATCACACAGCAGCTCACACCATTCATTTTAATAGCTCTAACTATAGCTAAGACGATTACATTAGTCATTTGGATAGACGGAACTAAATTACCCATGAACCAGCGACTCAGTCTGCTGACTGAACACTTTCACTTTTGTAATACTCTAATAAATATCAGTCGTATTTATGTTCTTTTTTTTTATGGGAATGAGTTAAAGAAAAAGTCAGTTCATGGTGAAGTTAAAATTTGCATAAATAACTATTTGATAAAACTAAGATGTTAAAATGTATAAATGATTTATGTTTAAAATTAGTGGTTTTAAAAACACAATTTCATGGGGTGTGAATGCCTTTAAAAAAAGTTAAAAAGTAATTCTTATTACGTTATATTACGTGTGTGAGTTCATGACCTTTGAGTGTTTACACTTCCTGGCTGACCCGAGAGAGGAAGAAGAAGGCGCAATGTGTTAATGGCGTGGAGCGGAGACTCTGGGACTGTGTTATATCTGTGCCGTGGTTTATCCATGACGGACTGAACTGCTGTCTGCAAATTATGCCGTGAGTGTGCGAGTCAGCCTCCCCGGCGCAGATGAGTGTTTTTTTTTGTTTTATTGGAGGCGAAGTAAGTTCAGCTGAGTTGGCCAGTCGGAGCTAGTGGAAAGCTAACTGCACGGTCGTCGCGGACGAGCATTGCCGGGTCGTCATGGATGAGTGTCGCCGACGAGGGGGCCGCCGCAATGGGGGAGTGGATCAGCAGCTGCAGCTTGGCCCCGCTAGCTTCACAGACACACAGAGGTACCCACAGACATTACAGTAACCATCATGAGCTCCAACTAAGCGCGCCAACGAAACAAAGTAAGAGTGCACTCAGGTTGAACAATTAGGACTGGACAAAACTGGACATATGTACCCAGGTCTTTTATTTTCTTCATTTTTCTCTTTTCCAATACCAAAGGTCTGAATGTTTTTTCAGGTGCAATACATTTTCAAAACCTGATATCTTGTGTTGTGTCATTGAGTGGTGTTTTCATTCAAACTGCTGAGTAAATATAAGTTACAGGTCAGAGTATTCCCGCCAGCCTCTAAATTAACATTGTACAGTGAGTGAGAATCATACATTACCCTAGACAGTTGTTTACTATGTGAGATGTCTCTTTTACCACAAAATATTGCATAAGGGTTAAGAAGAGTTCATCTTAAAGCATAGGGTGGGTTTCTTAATACACGAGCCGGTGGAAAAAACGGTTACACTTTGAAGAACAGTTGTACATGAGAAAATCACACATTTACAAAACACATGGTCTCCCATATTATAGTCTCTGAGGAGCTGATCCACTGATTAACAGCAATTTAATAACACAGATATAAAAACATTATTCTTTTATTGTAATGTCATTTTAACAGTAATACATTACTTTTTGTGGTTTCTTACTTTTTCTTTCTCGTCTTGTTTAGTTAATTGAATTTATCTTTGTGAGAACAGAACACAAAACAAAGCTGGGGATCCAGCAGTGATCAAGGTTACCACTATCACTTGTTAACATTATTCATTCAGAGTCAGTGGTGTAAGGTAGTTACAACAGGCTGCAGTGCATGCTACTATGACGGGCCCAATAATGTAAGTTATTGTGCACATATCGTCTCGTCACATGATCAGAGACTTGACATTGGACACATATTACCCACCAATCACCACTGCATATCTGCATATCACAAAAATACCCCAAAATGAGAAATTATTGATTCAATTTAAAAATTGTAATAGTTTATTATAGTTTATTTGGAATAAGCATATCATTTTGTTATAGATGCTATTGACAGTTTTACAAAACAGAAAAAAAAACATGACGGAGATGGGTTTTACTTTTTCAAGGGCATATATAGCAAAAGGCACTGTTTTCAAATTAAAGCTGCAGTAGGTAGAAAGCCTGAAAACGGTTGATTTTTGAGTATCATCTGAGTCAGGTTTCGTTCGTCTCCGCCCTGAGCCCCTCCTACCAGACGAGCACGCTAGTATTTTATCCTACTTGGTTCTATTTCTCCCTCTCTGGGAGCCTCGGCTCTCCCTCTCCGCGCAGCAGCCCTCCACATCCCTCCCTCGTGAACCCGCACATACTCCCG